ACGAGAATTCTCTCTGCTTTGCTTCGATTCGCTCGTGATTCGATTAATGGCAAATTTTGAGTGGCAAAATTTTGTTGTCAGGGTTGTTGTCAATTGCATTGGGGGAAATGAAATGGAAATTCGCAACATTTCCGCCTCCCCCGGCACACAGCACACAAAACACACACACACAGATTGGCATTGCCGCATTGAGTAGCCGCTAAATGATGATTCACTAAGTGAATGCATTTGCAAAGGCCAACGAGGATGCAACGAGGAAATGAGATAACGAGAATTGTCATTATGGATAGCTGAGCAGCTCAGTTGAGCAACTGAGGGAAGGGATTCATTGGCCTGGCTGTTGAGCAGCTCGTTCTTTGCATTCTTTGCCATTTACTGAGTCTCTTTATTGAATATGTACTGTAGAACTACAGTACAGCCTTAGATTCTAATGAATCCATTAACCCATCCCATCCCATCCATCCATTCACAGCATCGTTATTGCCCTGCTCTTTCCGTGGCTTTTCTTTTGGGAATTTTCCTGAAAGCAAAGCTGTTGTCCATCATGTCGTCGCGCTGTCCAATGCACTTTTCCCGTTTTCTGTGTTTGCCCTGCGGCTTAACTGCAAATTCATGCAGAAAATGTTCAAGATGGGGATTGGGGCCTCTGGAGGGGAGCTTGAGGAGGAGCTTGAGTCGCATTAACTGGCGAACAAAGCCACTTAATGGTCCAAGGGCTAGGAGTGGGCTGGGGGACGGTCTATGGACTATGGCAGTGCGTCCGAAGCCCTGACTAGCCTTGTGGTCTGTGGCTCTCTGGTCCTCTGCCCACGGAATCAACAGGGAAAAAAAGGGAGAGAGAGAGCAGGCAGGCAGGCAGGAAAATCTGTGCAAGTTGTTTACACGCCGCGCACTCGAGTGCTTCCTAGAAAATGACGAAGACCACGGCGACTATTGCACTGCGAGTGCAACTGCAGTCTGCAGTCTGAGGTCTGAAGTCTGAAGTCTGAAGTGGCTGAATGCATTTTGTGGATGATCATGCAGCCAGCAGTCGGGCCAAGGCAATTGGTGGGCCAAGGCAGCTGCTGGTAAAAGTCTCACAGCTCGTAGCTCCTTTCAATGCCTGCCACTTGTTGTCATCAATTTCTGTGTGCTGGTTACCTCTTCTTCTCGCTGCTGTTTATCCAGACTCCAGACTCTAGACTTCCATCTCTCCATCTCTCCAACTCCATCTCCATCTCCCAGATGCACAGCTAGAGCCAGAGGCAGGTTGAATGCCACTTGCTGCTTCGGCTGCACTTCGTTGGAAATGTACAATATGTATATATTTTGGGAAAATTATCTACCATTTTCATTTAGCTGTTACTTCTGTATTTGTTTTCGTTTCGTTTCGGTTGTTTGCCTTTCGGAGGAGAGTTTTCGTTTTCGTTTTTATTTTCCTGAAAACTGAACTTGTAGTTTTCCAATTAAAAAATTATTATGAAAATAATGGGCCTGGGGATCTCGTTCTCATTCTCTCCCCATGACACTCTCTCTCGCTCTGTCTCCCTCTCTCTCTGTGTATCTCTGTGTGAGGATTGTGATCGTGTTTTGGGTTGTTCTTTTCCGCTCTTTTGGCCTACTCATTGTCACATAATTAACACTTGATATAGCAATTTGTCGGGCTGCAATTTGCTTTCCACTTTGGTTTCATTTCCCTCAATTTTTTTCGGCTTTTTGTGGGTTTTCGGTTTTTGGGAAAATGTGCGAAAAACTATCGAATTACCTTTTGTCTGGCAACAAAACAAGGGAGCCCCCCAGGAACACACCAGAGAGGCAGGAAATGTGCACGGGAATTATTTCGGAAGTGCGGCGGCGGCCCCCATACCACAATAATATCGCAAATATCTTGGTTCTTCTCTCTAGATCCCTATCGCTGCTGCTGCTTCTGCTGCTGCTGCTGCTGCACTTTTTAGAGGTTTCTATTTTCATTTTTTGGCTTCGAAAATTGGTGCGATTGATTTTCAGTCAGAGGACACGCGTGTGGCAGTGTCAGGGGATTGGGGATTTGGGACAGGATTAAGAATAGAAAGAATATATCTTTAAGCAGATCTTTGCATTAGTGTGTCATCTGAATATATTCATACACATTTGTGATTCCCCTACAATCATTTGAATGTTCCCAAGCAATTATCAGATTTATTTAGTTAATTTGATCAACTTTTGAGTGTATTGCAGCCAAGGCACTGCTCTCCCAATTAGAGCCAACAATTTGTGGGCAATTATTTGCCATTAAGTCAAATCCACTGGCACTTCGGTTTGCCTATGACTCAGGGCCCGGGCACGGAACAATGGCCCAGAAGTGAGGCGCTGAACAGCGAGCTAAAGACGGGAGAGGCCCACTTCGTTGGCCACTTCGAAATGCGTGGAAATGTGTGTCGAAAAAAAACATAGTTTGTGGGCATTACATAAACACCAATAAAAGAGCAGCACCGCAGCACATGACAGCGATACGAAGCGAGGGATACATGTGTATCCCAAAGGATCTGCACACTTGCATGACTTTTGAGTAAATATTTATTAGAAGGAGAAACGAAGTGCTAGAGCAGCAGGCAGCAGTCGCCACTCCTCGATGGCCACTCAAATTAAGGATAACAACGTGCAAAAGCAGCATCAGCACAGGAGCTGACACAGGCATCCCGGCAAAGTAGCAATTTTCCCCGGAGTCAACAAAAAGGAATAGAAAAGAAATTGAAAGGATGCTGAGGCTACTGCTACTGCTACTGCTGCTGCGGTTAACCACTCGAGTCGATTTATTTTGTACACAATTTGCCTCGAAAACTAACGCCCCGTGTCCTGTGTCCTGTTGCCTGGTTCTGGTCCTGGTCCTGGCCAGAAGAAACCAGAAAAGGACGTTGTCGTCCGTCTGTTGCCTTTTTTACAGCTCAACCAGGACAAAAGGGGCCCCGAGGCCCTCCAACTGTTGTTGTGCAAACAATGTGCGAGCGGACGCTGACACGGACGGACCCTCGGCAAATAGTAGACCAGGATGGGCATGGGCATGGGCATGGGCATGACTAACAAGAACTAGACGGAAGAATAAGAATAACGCCAGTGCCAGCAGAAGAATAAGAACAGGAATAAGAGCCAGCAGACAAAAAAAAAAATGCAGAAGTGGCTGGAAAAACAGCTCCCGGAAAGGTCAACAGTGGAAAGCAGGCACAGAAACCACACAACGGAACAACAAATAAACTGATGTAAAGTGTGAAAATTTAACAAATTAAGTGCGTGTAACTCTCAGATACATTTGTATCTCGTATCTCGTTCTTCGCACCTTTGGCCCCGGTAGGTGAGAAGGCCTACCTTCTCGAGGGTGTGAGAGTGGGATGGTTAGACAAACACGAACTTACACGGTACACACCGTCCCGGCCAGAAAGGGATGGCGATGAAAATTCTGGCCAGGGGCGTGGCCATCTGCCCCATGACGCGGCACAAAGAGGGCGAGGGGAAAGCAAAAACTAGATCTACACCAAGGTAGATCTTGCCACGGAACAAGATGGATAATGTGTGGTCTATTAGATTAGATGAGATCTCTCTAGCGAGATCTTAGCATCTTGTGAGAATATATTGGTCGATAAAGAGATGATAAAAAATACTAGAATATTTCTATAAAGCTATAATAGCACATCCTATACTATATGATAGCATCCCAGAACAAGCAAACAAGATTTCACCACGTTTCAGTTCTTCAAAAGATTCCAAATTCGAAAATCTGCTAAAACAAAAAAAATACAATGAAAAACGAATACAAAAAAAAAAAACCTGGTAATCAGAGTTTAATTTTTATAGCACCAATTGGAATTTGTATGGCAAATCGCAAACGGGATGATCTAATCAGAACTAAATTATACTTTAATTCAATTTCACAAAAGAAAATTAATATTAGGGGTAGAAATTGAAAAGATTCGTTTATGACGCAACGTCAGAATTATTAACTTTTTTTTGAAACAGTTTAAGGGATAACCCCGCAGGTTTTATTATACCAAATTTGAGCAAAAAAGAAGGATAATATCTACATGGAATTAAGATACATATATTGTACATATTTATGAGGATTGTGTACATGTGAGGGATAGTTTACAAGTGCCTCCTATAAACATTATTATAAGCCAAAAAGAAGAAAATACGAAGATTCGTGTGTTGAAATGTTCAAAAACGTTCATTTAAGAGAGATATTCTCAAGGAAAATTAAACACACTCAAATATTAAAAAATATATCCATAAGTTTCAAGTTTCAAAGTTTCCTTTTCAATTCATTATCAATAAAAACAAGCTGAACTGCAGTCTAAGATGTTATTCTTATTTGGAAATTGACTCCAAGAAAATTTCAGTTTTTCACTACAACCAAAAATATTCCAATATTGAGCCCATGGGAGGAACTGACATTCATGGACGTGTGCTATAATATTGCCTGCCCCATGGCTATCGCATTTCAATGGTTGCTGCACGATCCCTATCCCCTATACCGAGGCGGAGGAGTGTTCTTGTGCTCGTCGCTAATTTAAATGGAAATTATGCGCTTAATTAGCGATACACTCACACGGATACGAGGGGGGATACGAGGCATGGAATTGTGGCATGGATTGAAGTGTGTGCGAGATTTCACACTTTGCTGACATGGAGCTCCTTCTCCTCCCTCTGCCTATCCATCACCCTCTGTGTGTGTGTGTGTGTGTGTGTGTGTGTCTGTGTGTGTTATTAATAAGCTTTGTTGAGCGTTGCCACTCGTGCTTAATTTACCGTTCCATTGTTTCAATGCTCGGCCCTGCCTGCCAACCCCTTTTTACGCTTTGAGCTTATTAGTCCATGGGCCTACGCGACGACACAGGAGGGCAGTCGCTCGTCCGTCTGTCCGGATTGACACTTGGCTGCACCCGTTCAAAGTGCCCAGGGAGGACTCTGATGCAACAGCATGGTGCAGATTGTACATGTGTATGGGTTGCCCGGTAATTAGCCGTGCAACAGATCTCAGACTCACTCACCTGCGAATTGGGCTCCAAAATGCTGCTGGAAGTGGCCTCGGAACTCGTGCGGCGTACTGAAGCCGGGCGGCAGGAAGCCTCGCAGATAGGCCGCCGCCGCCAGGGTGGTCATGTGGTGGTGGTGGGCCGCAGCCGCATTGGAGGGATCCGCGGCGGCAGCATAGCCAGCGGCCGCGTAAAAGTTGGCCGGATTGAACACCGGCAGCTGGCAGTGGGCGGCGGCAGCGGCTGCTGCGGCCGCAGCGGCCGATAGTCGTGTCACGTCTGGGGAGAGGGAGCGCGAATCCCGCACGGCCGCCTCCTGGGAGATCTGTTGCTGTTGCAGTTGTTGCTGTTGCAGCTGTTGCTGCTGCTGCTGCAGTCCGGAGGCGCCTGAGGCGGCGCTGGCTGGTGTGTTGGCATTGCGGGGCGGCGGTGTGGCGGCCGGCGATAGTGGCGCCTCTGTGGAGCTGGGCGTGGCTGCAGCGGCGGCCACCTGCTGATGCTGCTGCTGCTGTTGTTGTTGTTGCTGCTGCTGCTGCTGCTGGTAGGCGGCTGCTCCAACGCCAAGGCCTAGGATCTCCTGGATGGCAAAGGGGGTACGCATTTTGGTGGCCTGCATTTTGCCGACGGCTTTTCTCTTTGTCTCTCTTTTTGGTCACACTCTTTCGGCAACTGTTCTGGAGAGGGGCAGAGAAGGGTCTTATTGCACTCGCAGAACGGTCATTGCCGGCACAGTTAAAGTTACAGTTAGGACACAATAAAAAACAATATTTGCATGTATGTATGTATGTACGATCACGCGAACGAACGTTCGAATCCAACGTTTGATGATAAAAACAACACGCACGGGAGATATCGAATCGAATCGAATGGTAAGGTAAAACTGTTTAAACGATGGACTGGACGATGGGGTTTCACTCTTTAGCTTTTGATTCGGCTCGGGCCAAAGGCAACGCTTAACTGTAAGTAAACTGTAAACGCCTCTACGCTGTTACTCTACGCTGCCTGCGTCCGTGTCGTGTCTCTTTGGTTCTTTGCTGCTTGTTGTTTTTGTGTGTGTGAGAGATGAGCCGTTCGTTGCGAACAGCGTGCGAAAACGAACTGAAACCATAGCGAGCGCTGCACGCGAGCAAAAGCGTCGTCGCTGTCGCTCTGCCGCTGTCACTGCCCGCGCCGGCTGCGACGCCAACGCATGGAGTGGGATATTTCCGTTCCGTTTGTTGCTTGCCGTTTGCCGTCGCTTGGTGGTTGCTCAGCTCAGATGCGTCGCGACGACACGACACCTTGGCGCAGCTTCAACTGTCAACTGTGGCGCTGCTGCTGCTGCTTCTGCTGCTGCGGCTGCTGCGCTGCTACCAGCGCTCTGCTCTGGCTACGCCATCTTTGCGCGCGAACGGGATGGCACTACTGCGACAGGCTAGCCATCCCTCGCACACTCACTGCACTTCCCATGGCAGGGGCAAACGCTGAACTTCCAGGGGCGGCCATCCCACTCGCACACACGGCAAACAGCTCTGGGCCTCTCGCTCGCCACTGGAAGGCCGCTCACCGACACTATACGTGTGTGTCCTCCTGTACGTGTACAGTAATTATACAGAGACTGCCCTGCGTACTTTTTCGACTGCGTTTCGGTTTCAGTTTGTTTTGCGCCCGCCGCCAATTTGGCTGGCCGCTGCGCTACCCTCTGTCTATATGTGTGTGCCTCTGTGTGTGTGTGTGTGTGTGTGTGCATGTGTGCGAATGATGGGACTTACGTGCTTGCTCTTTGGCCCAATATTTCCTTTATTTTTTGTTGGTTGTAAATTTGCTCCAAATGGATTTTCACTTGTGTTCAATAATAGCCACACAAAAACGAATCTAAACTATGGCATTTCATGGCTTGCATTTCCATGGGAAAACGTCCGAAAATACCCATCGATTACTGCCATCCAAGATATATTAATTGCCTGGATTTACATATATTATTTGGTATAATCTCTTGGGGAAACTTAAGTTATTTCCATGGCGAAATACTTCTCAAAGGGGAAGCAAAGCTTAAACTGAACTTTCAATTGGAATTTGGAATTGGAATTTAATGGAAATTGCTTGGTTCTCTTTCTCTTTTGGCACTCTCAATGTTGTTCCTTCCAGGAGGCGGCGACAGGTCTCTCGCTCCTTAACGTTTTGGGTCCGTCCGTCTCCAAATTGCAAGCATTGTTCAGGCCAAAGTTGGTCATGTTAATTAAGCTTTCCCTTTGCTTTCCCTCTTTCCCTCTCTCTCTGTCTGTCTCTCTCTCTTTCTCCATCCTGTCTGATTGCGGGGGCTTATCGATTAGCTGCCTCTCCATCTCTCCCATTTGACTGCATTTTCACACCCATTAATTAGTCGCATTGCATAACAATTGCATAATCAATATGCCATTTCAATTAGCACACTTGTCTCGAGAATTACCGCCCCCAAAAGCCCCCCCCACATCTGCACAGGCACATTCATTTAGAGTGAAGCTTCTGCTGGTCGGATATCTATTTCACAGAGCCAGCCTATTAATATGTATAATAATCGTATAACAACGTTATTGCAACAGGCACTTGCATCCATTTCCAATCAAAACCAACACTGAGAAATCGCTAGGATTTCAGGCATAGGCAGCGATTTCATTGTACATCGAAAGCATTTCCAAAAGAGTTTATATAGGGTAGACATTTGACCTTCACAAATTCCGCGGAGAGCATTTCCTATAAATATACCATTTGAATGTGTAGAGAAATTATTTTCGGAATATGAGTTCCCCTACATAATAATGGAATTTACTTAATTTACAAAGGATACTCGTATATACTTCCCCTTCCCATAACCATATTAAACACCTACTGATGGATTTGTTGTACTTTACTTTGCTTTCATCTTTACTCTCCACTCTCCAGACGCCGACAACACATTAAAACTGACAATTTTCAATGATTTCCATCACCATGACTTATTTTCCCGCTTTGTACTCTCTACAGCCAGTCTCAAGTGGCTTCGTGCCTCGCCCCACCCCACACTGGTTGCCGCAGCCACAGATGAAATAAATCTAATTGACAAAAGAACATGGGAGTAAGGGACAGGAAGTTGGCGATAGTAGAGGGAGACACAATAGTTGGGGGCACAATCAGGAGCATATGTGGCAGGACGCATTCCCACTGGGCATCCTTTGGAGTAGATGTAAGAAAGCAATTTATAAATATTCAAAAAACTTTACACAGCTGAAAAGATTTGCATAAAATGTATGAACTGAAAATGCTACAGCAGAGAAGGATCTTTCAGAAATTTCCATTAAAATAAAAAAAAACTGTCTTTGATTTGAGGATGTGCCTCCCAACTTCCACTTTAAAAGTTAATCTTAATTAAGAACTTATGAGTCCTGCAGGAACTTTTACACGGATTCCAATCTTGAATGAATTATGACAGCCGTAGAAATTTTATTTTCAATCTACCAAAATCGGAGACTATCTACGGATAAACTTTCAAGAAAATGATTAATATTCAGGGCCCAGAGAGAGGAGTGTATTTCCTTGCAGAATGGAAAGATTTTATAGGTATTCTAATACGATTCTTGCCACCTAATTGGTTCCCTCATGGACTGCCTTCGTTGGGACAATCGGTTGTCGTGCCACTGCCACTGTGGTAGTGCCACAGCGTGGCATTTCTTTGCGCTGCCATGTCCTGCCCCATTCGACTGTGGTTCGATAAAAGGAGTTTCCGTTTCGCATTGTCCTCAAGGACCGCCGCATTATTTCATATTTATAATGTAATCTGCACTTCATCCTCAAAGAGACGTCGCATAAATCACACACACAAATGGAGGCGTGCCATTGCCAGTGCCAGTGCCAGTGCCAGGGTCCGTGAGTGGGTGAGTGGGCGACTATTTGGATTCCATATGGAAGGCGTCCACTTCATAGGCTAAAAGCCTTCACTTGCCTCCCATCTCTGCGGCATTGCGCTGCCTTTTTGTTTGATGTTCGACGGCCACTTGAGATGCATTTGGCAGAACTTTGCATTGTGCAATCGTATTCGCATTTCCCATTTGGTTGGGAGTCGGAATCCCTTCCTGGGACACGACTACAGCCACATCCACATACACAGCCATGCAAATTGGAATTTCATTTCGATTTGTTATTGGTTGATTGATCCTTTGATCCAAATGGGCCCCTGCTTTATTGCGTCCTGTGCCCACCTCTCAGCCAGCGTCTTGCAGCCATAGAAAGCAACTCATTAGGCTAAAAGCCTTCCATTCCAGTCAAATCTGTGGCCAACTAATTAACCATCGCTGTTGCTGTTGCTGTTGCAGTTGGAGAAGGAACATCTGGCAGCTGTTCGATTGCTTCGTTTCGTTTTGTTTTTGCTCACTTTGGGGGTAATCCCCAGGGGGCATTGCATTTGCCACTGGCATTTGCCATTGTCTCTGGCTGCATATTAGCCAGGTTCCCGAATGGGCCACCACCTGGCCATTGTTATTGCTTAGCCACAGGAACACAGGAACACAGCAACGGAGAGAAGAGAGAGAGGGAGAGGGAGCCAGCCCCCATGGCAGTTCACCGCCATTGTCCTTCCGGCATTAGCCGGGGAGTCCTACCATTTAACTAATGACACACAACGACCGCAATTGAGCTTCACACTCCACATGACTTCTTTGCGATTGAGTGGAGTTGTTCGAGAAGCTTCTTCTGCATAGAGGCTTGGGGCGATTTCATGCCATACGGAGAGAGAGTGAGAGTGAGATCTGTAGATCTGGTGTCCCGCTGTCCTTTGGCTGAAGAAATGTAAGCGGTAAGTTTCAGGGCATTCGATTGAGAGACTTTCGAGCTATGGAATCGTAAGTGCCTTGAACAAAATATGCTCCTTGGGCGCGATGGGACAGCGCATTCCGTCTAACATCAAAACTCATTGTAAAATATATAAAAGTTCTCTCTATAAAACAGTAAAATTTACACTTTTCCATTTAACTTAATATTTCTTACGCATTTCTAAAGGAAAGCTGCTTAAACTGTACCCTGAGGGCCAGCAGCAAGGGGAATTCTCCTCCGGCTGAAGATGATAATATATTGAGGAAACTTTCGACTTAATCATCGATTTCCTGTTTGGTTAATCAGACTAGAGGAGTGTTTTAATCCGAACATTTAACTAAGTAATTGATTGAGGGCTAAGAAAAAAATTAAACCATTTTGATGGAGCTATAAGAAAAACCGAATCTGCCCATGCATGTGCATGCATGTGAATTCGCCATCAAAATAGAGACTGTACCCAATTGCAGCTCTTGCTCCTCTTGCTACACACACACACACATCCCCATTGCATTGTTGCAACGTGTTCCCGAGTTCCTTATCCTGGCAGACACACTCCCAATGGTCGGATGGGCGATGGCGACGTCGCTTTAAGCCACTTGGAAATCGTTAATTTCATAATTACATGTTTCATGCACACGCTCTGTGCCCCGGACTCCAAAATGGGGAACAGCGCGGTGGCAAGTCCGGGCTGGAGGGCTCAAGCGGCGGGTGGGTATGTGTATGTGCGTGTGTGTGTGAGTGGCACATAAGTGGCAGCCAGCCAGAAAGCCAACACCATTTTGGCCATAATTTAGTTTTGCCCGTCCATTAGCAGGCCAGGCCAGGCCGGGGCATGGCACGGCACGGCACGGCAGGAGAGGTTGCTGAAGCGGGGGGCGGCCCTTTGTTGCAATGCCACTCGGCGAGAAATCAGCACCAGGCTGGGCTGGTGTGGGGGAAGTGGCCTCGAAGGAGCGGCAGTGGCACAAACGCGAAAGAGAAGCCGAAGAAGAAGGACGAGTGGATAATTATTAATAATTATCGCATTGACGTGTTTTCGTTTTCAGTTTTTTCTTCTCTTTATTTTTATTTTTTTTTTGTTGTTTCTTCGCTTTTTGAGGGTGTGCACACATACACCCCCCCCCGCACCATCGCCCCCCCGCTCCACTCCTCTCCTCATGCGAGTGTGTGCAAGTGGTTTATATAATTGGTCAACTTCTGCCCCATTCCTTGCCCCAGCGGCGGCCACTTGGCTTCTTCTTTCAGCTCTCAGATTTCTTTGGCTCGAGGGTTGACACAAAAAATGGGACAAAAAAGGGTTGCCCGCCCGCTGCGAGGGAGGTTGGGAGAGCAAAACGGGTAACCGGTACGCAATGAAACTGATTTAAAACCATTTTCTTTCGGAGTTTGTTCTCAGAATTATTCTGTGGCTGAATCACTTGTGGCATCGACTAGGAACTATTCGCTGTAATCTGTGAATTATAAAGGAC